TTCATGCACAAGTACAAAAGCAAACTAAGATTTTTGTTTCTACTCTACAACTTGATTATAAAATATCTGTGAAGCCAAATTTGTAAAAAAAAAAAGTGTCCAAACAATCTATTAACATAAAAGGAAAATAAAAATAATCAATGTTTCTAACTTAGCTATAGTGGGAGAAGATTCCTTCCATTACTTATGTATGGTACATACACTTCGCACTCATAAGAAATTCAACTTTATACAAAATAGGAAATAAACTTCTTATCAGTAAAAATGTTTAAATTTTACACAGTTTGTACATTGCTCACAACCTTTAGAGAAAAAAAAAATATTGTTATTGCAACCACAATAACGATATATCATTTAAGGTCATAAATATTTTCATAATGTAAGAGAATAAAATGGAAAAAAATTTAAACCACATCATATTCAACCATATATTGCACCCAATTACTCCTTAGAAGACACAAATTCGTATTAATTAATAACGGATTATAGATTGAGAATAGAAAAATTCAATCCCACAAACAAATTAATGATCCGATCAACAAGATATTGAAAAAATGTAAATTAATTTAGAGACAAAACTATACAATAATTAATTAAATATATAATATTTATAGTCAATGCAATTTAAAAAACTAGGGTTAATAAACGATTAGGTCAACAAAGATGTTTGTAACGATGTGTGTGTATATATATATATACCGAGATGGTGTTACACAATGAAATGAGTATTCCTAATCCAAACACTAATTCTGTGATTTACGATATCATTGTTGAAGAAGTGTCATTGTTTGGAGGAATCGAAAAATGGTGAACAAGTATAAACGACAATGGATTTTTAAAATAAAGATGGAAGCCAAAAAAAGAATAAATTCGGGCCCCCTAAAGAGCTGGGACTGAGGCGATAGCCTCTTGGGCCTCTCTTCAAGCCCTGCTATGTGTGCATGTTTATAATTGTGCTCATGAGCATATAGGAAGATGTCTTTGCACGGTTATGCTTGTGGTATTCTGGAGATATATAATCAAGAGTTATTTCATTTGGACGTGACTATTTGAAAAGTTAAAAGATACACAAATTTCTCAATTAATATTGCACTTTTTCCCTTGGTAATTGATTGCTGAGATGATACACGTGGTAGCTTGATCGAATTTATCTGATAGTACCCTTGCTGGACAATTTCCACACTCAGACAGTTCCCTCAATTGTCATATTTAATTGTTTTAAGTAATGATTATTGTATTCTATTTTTTGTATTTGAGTAAAAGGAATTAGAAATCCCATTTTTGTCTGCTTCAGTGGTCTGACCAAATCAAACCACACAGAGTTGACAGATCTAAAACAGAAGTACAAGGATCAAGGTTTAATTTAGCTGATGATTCTTGCTTTTGATATTGAACTTGTTCGGGTATCGAAAAGATGTTTTTTTCCTTGTTTTGTTGCTCTGGATAAATTACTAAATTTCATTTTCATGCAGCTATATATACTACAGATTTTCATTTGGAATGCCTCTTTTAAAGGCTAATGAAAATTGTACTTGTAATTTTAGGAAGAAACCATTTCCATCCTAAATGTTTAAAGCTCCTCTGATCTTCTTGAGGAATGTTAACCATCATTCTGCTGATCAAGGGAATGTGAGATTTTTAAATTAAATTGTAAATCATGTTTGGAGTAATAAAGAAATAAATCAAAATACAAACTTTTGACGTTGACTTAAATTTGGCTTGATTTATTCAACATCAACAAGAAAACCAGACCATATTTTTCCATTCATCAAAAGGTTTTTGATGGATTATTCACGCAAATACTAATACAAGAATTAAAACATGTTTGCCTATGCTCGTCATCATACGATAATGAGGAGTATAACTAGGACGCACGAAGTGTAATCCTTTGGACTGATTAAGTTTACGTTTATTGCACCTTTAGTTGGAGGTCGGGTTCAACTCTCCGTAAATTTGTAGTTTATTCGTGTTGGCCTTGGTATTGAAAATCACGCATCAGCCCAGAAAATCTCCATCAACCCCCGATCCTTCTTTGGCACCCCCAATGCTTCCCAAACTGCAGGAGAAGCATCTACGATATTATTTGCGCACGGTGGCTGAAAATCATGCTCAGAATCACACCCCTTTGTAGAGTCACATTCATCCACTACCTTGGCTTTCACACTCCTCCCATTTGCATGAATAATAATGTTTTTATTACACCTTTTTGCGTTTTTCTTCAGCCATCCGGTGGACAGCGCCACTACCTTTGTTTTATCAGAGTGGAATTTCCCGTCGCATTCCGAAGCCCCGCCTCCTTCTCCACCCTTCTCGAAGCTGTTTAAGGTCAGAGTCGCCTTAGTCCGTCCCTTCACCAGGGGTGGAGAGCACTCGTAAGTGTCGTAAACCTTGCCTTCTATGCAGCACTCCGAATCATGCTCTTTGTTGCATTGGTTTTTCGGGGCTTTCTTTCCTCTAATTTTCCCACTAGGGTTGCATTTTTGTGCACTAGCCAACGAACAGGCCACAGAAAAAAGGATGAAAAGGAACATGAGCAAATTCCTTGTACAGAAAGGTACTTTCTCTCCCATTTCTTTAATTTATTCAAGTAAAGTTTGTATCCAAATGTTAGATGATTCTGTGCTGCATTTCTACTAGAATTTATATAGAAAAATGGGGTTGAACAAGATATATTTTTTACGAAACAAATAATTGATGTTCTTCTTGTAATGTACATCACAGCTGGATAATACTTGAAACAAGGAACTGATGCGGAAGAACTTTCAGTATTTATTATTTCACTGTAGTAATAAATTGATATATACTGTTTTTAATCCATTCATGACAATGAAATATACAGTGGAATTTAAAGCAGCTGTCTTGTGTTGTGGCCTTTACTTAGTATACATACAAATTCCTCCTCGTATATTCAGTACATTTTATTTACTACAATCAAACAAATACCAGATTCGGTGCAGTTCATTAAATTGAAAAATTAGTCGTTATTATTGACTTTTATTAGACGAGTGAGACCCAATAACGGCTATATTTTCAATTTTAATTGGATTTTAATATTTACCAAACGAGCAATTAGAATTCCTTTTGGACTAAATTCATGCCTCGCAGTTCATTAAATTGAGTTCTTTTAGGGTCCGTTTGACAGGATTTTTACTTTTATTTATGCTTCTTGTCTGAATAAGTTATCTTATGCTATCTTCTTTTAAAAATTCTTCTAACAAGACAAAGTACATTCAGAAAATTATTCAAATATATTCAAAAACAATTTAGCCTTGCTAAATAGGCTGTTAGTACATTGTCTAGAGCTTATAGCCATGTATGCAATTGAAAGGCTAGACATTGGAACTAAGCGTAGCTATGTGATCATTTGATCAAATGATCAAACAACTAAGATTTGAAAATTATTAAGTGTCTGTCATCTTGAAAAAATGCAACCAGCAATTTTTAACTCAAAACCTTTGTAGGAGTGCACATTCCCATATTTAAGTTTCATCATGTTTGAATCATGGTATTTATGTAATATAAACAAGCAAACGCGGTTATACTAAAATGAAGTCGAAAGATTTCAACTTCTTTTTTTTTTAATAGGGTATTCGGTCCATATTCTTGTTTACTGGAATTATACAAAATTGTTTTAGATTATATTTTTTCCTTATTCCTTACGTTTTGCCCTATTTTTAGCCCCCGTTTGATCAACATTCTAAAAAAAATTATTATTTCAAAACTCATTTCCAACTACACTTTTTTCAATAAAATAATATTACATGTAAATTCAAAATTTTTCCTTATTGTTTAACCACATATTTTCCATCATATCACACCATAAAATGCATTCTTTTACAATAATGTGCATCAAACACCCCCTTAATGTGATGGAAGTCTCTCTTCATAAATATTTCTAAAAAATGTTTAAATAAAATTATATCGGTGTAATTATGTAGCATAAAATAATTATAAATAATATAATTGTTACTCTTAATCTTCAAGTCCACCTCTTAACCAAAATCTAAATTGCACTTGCAAGGGGAGAGTGGTGTTAGAGAAAGAAGACAAGTCCTTCTACATGGGAAATTAGCTACTTGGCTACTAGCTTATAAGGTTTCCTAAATGTTTTGGATTAAATGCTAGCAAACGGTTTAAAAATCATTTTTGGCTAGGGAAGAATAGAAAAGAAAATTAGTATTCCATTCAACAAATAAGAGCTGTTGACCCCAAAAAATGTTGCCAACAGATGCCGGGCCCACTCGTGCACACGCAAACTTGATCCAACAAGCTAATGCCGATCGACGGTCATGATGGCTTCAAATAATAGGCGTGAGAGTGGCTA